GACCCATTAATGACCCTCCAGATTTTCAGAAGCAGTAAACTGCGTAAGAGGAGAATGTCCATCTTTCATCCACAGAGCAAGTGGTTGATTCAAACTTCACACCTTTGGGTTAGCAGCACAGCTTCATATAACTAGGCCACCAGAGCTCCCTGTAATCACATTGTTGCTGGTCTGTGCTATTGCCTTGGTAACTAACCCACAGCTGACCCTCCATCAGGTTTTTCAGAAGCAGTAAACTGCATGGGAAGAGACTACCCTTCTCTTGCAGACCATTCGGTGGATTCAAATCACATTAAAGATCGTATTTTACTTATTTCAACAGTGTGTCATCATTTTATTAGCTCTTTGATAACAGAGTTCAATGGGCTATAACAGCTAATGAAAGTTGTACTTTTCTTGATTATTTAAAAACAAAGTATAATAACATTACTTCAAGTAAATAAAAAATATTTCCACACATTAAGCATCATTATGTCTTAGAAGACAACATAATAAAAAAAATAGTGCATCTATTTATGCAACTACACAAGTGAAGAAACAGATCTGTAATTTAATCAAGAGGTGATGAAAATGAGTTTTTATTTTGTCATTTCATGCTGTATTCATGACAAAATAAGTTATTTTTTTTAAAAAATTAGATAAACTGGCTTTTTTTAGTAAATGTGACAGTTACACAAGCACTTACACAACCTAGAGGGCAAGTTTAATGTAAGAAGAGTGTAGGAGGGCAGAGAAAGAGTTGTTTGAAAATAAAACTAAATTTTAAACAAAATTTTTAGCCACAAAATTTCAACTAAACTGATTATTGAGGCAGCCAAACAATGTGTGTGATAAGCCTTAAAAGATTATGAAAAAGGCAATATCCTTACCCCCATGGACCTCAAGATTTAGTTGGGAGGCAGATACTATTATTCAGTAGTTTTCTCATAATTGCTGGTAAGATCTTCACAAGAATTCTACATGGTCAAAATTATTTCTATAATAATTCTAAGTGTCTATTTGCCCTTTTCACTGTGCTGACAAATGGACTGGTCGTACAAAGTAACATCAGGTAAAACTGCTCGTGCCTCAGCAGGAGTCAAGGGAACAGCAACACACTGAATCAGTAGTCAGTTCTTCAGTTTTTACAATGGTGGTGTTTTGGCGTTGGTTTGGTGTTTTGTTTTGTTTTAAAAAAAAAAAAAAAACAGCAAGCCACATTTTTAATTGATAACATCATCTTTTGAAAGACTGAAAAAATGTCAATTAGAGTTGGGAGGTTAGCATACATTTTCTTAAAAGTTAACAAAATGAGCTTTCCAATACAAGGAAAACTGACACTATTTGTTGTGGGTAATAAAATTTTAATTACTGCTTAAAAACATATTTCTACCGCAGCAGAATTTAACATTTTACCGATAAGTAAAGACTTCCCATGAGTACACTGATGTTTACCAAATGCAGTTTTTGACACTGCATAATGAAATATATAACTATTTGGAAGATTTATGGACATCAAGCATTATTTTCCAAGGGATTAATGTATAAGGTAACAAAATCACATATAGAAAAGTGCATTCAAAGTGCAAGATAAACCAATAGGTCTTAAGTCAAAACTCAGAGAGTTCAAAGTGGAGTACGCTGATTCCATTAGAACTGTCAGAAATTACCACTAGGGTGTGGAATATCCAAAATTATTTGGAAATATTAATAAACTCTCTCTTCTTTTTCCTACTACATATCTGTGTGAGGCTACCCCTCCCTCCAAAGCAACCAAACACTGCAGCAGAACAGATTCAATACAGAAACTGATATAAGATCCAGCTATTCTCATTAAATTATGTATTAAAAGATTAACAAAAATGAAAATAAGGTCACTCTTCTCATTATGATATCTAATTTCAGAAAAGAGTCATCTCGCACTGGAAAAACAAACAAATTTTTGCTGTTGTTATGTGCCACTGAGTCGCCTGCAACACATAGCAACCCTATATCCATCCTGAAGCCTCTGAAGCCCGCTCTATCCAATCTCATCCTTTCCGAAAGACCTAATCTGCGTCAATCCATCTCATCCTGGGTCTTCCTCTCCTGCGCTGTCCCTCCACCTTTCCAAGCATGATGTTCTCCAAGGACATGTCCCTTCTGGTCAAGTGCCCAAAGTATGTGAAACGGAGTTTCAAAATCCTTGCCTCCAGGGAGCAGTTTGGTTTTACCTCTTCATGACAGATCTGTTTGTTCTCCTGGCAGTCCACAGTATGTTCAATACTCCTCTCTAGCACTACAACTCAAAGGCATCTATCATCCTTAGTTATTGCCAAGTAGCAAGCTTATTATTAATCTAAAGTTCATTCAAAAGTACTATTAAATTTCTCACTTTTTTATATGGTAAATACTAATACAGCCAGTCTAAATGGAGTGTTCAATAATTAAAAAGTATAAAGGGTCCTAAGAGTAAAATATTCCAAACCACTGTTCTAACCCAATGAGAACTATAAAAGAAGAAACAAAATTATGGTTAATTCCAAGAAAAACAGAAGTCTTTACAGAAGAAAACATGTTGACTTGGTGACTGTATAAGGAGTTTATTTTTGTCCTAGTTTTCTTCCTCTGGGGTGAGGAAGACAGTAATTCGGGGAAATGGAAAATTTCAATGTGTCCTGGAAAAGGGTAAGTAGAATAATGCAGTACAAATGCAGCTATCAGGATTTAATACGGAGGCTGAAGTTGTACAGGAAAAACTAGCCTCTAGATCACACATGACTTATTTTATAGAAAATATGAAAAGCCATTTGTGAATTCTGTACTAATGTAAAAGAACTTGATTGCATCTCTTGTGTCAAGACTTTCATATACCAAACATGCAATGTTTTTTCATCATTAAACGTAAAACATATTAGAAACTGGATTTGGTTTATTCAAGCTTTGAAGATGAATTTCAAAGGTTTGTTGTGAACAAAGCAAATTTTAATATCTGTCTAGAGTCTAAGCGAGCCATAGGGATAAAAATGTGTTAAAAGTATATGTATTAGGGGAGCACTGGTGACCTAGTGGTAAGGAGCTGCAACTACAATCCCAGAGGTGCACAGTTCGAATCCACCAGATGCTCTGCCAGGGAAGGAGGGACAATCTCCTCCTGTACCAGTCAGATCTGATTTAGTGGTAAGGAGCTGCAACTACAATCCCAGAGGTGCACAGTTCGAATCCACCAGATGCTCTGCCGGGGAAGGAGGGACAATCTCCTCCTGTACCAGTCAGATCTGATTTGACGGTACACTCACACAAAAATAATAAAATAAAAATTAAAAAAAAAATACTAAAAAAAAAAGTGTATGTATTAAAGACAGACACAGAAACACACATACACATTCCCTGTCTCACACACAGTTAACATCATGGCTCCAGCTTTATTTAAAAATGATCAGGGTTTACACACAACTTTTTAAAAATCAATTACTAGAAGTGTTTGTATGTGTTTTCCCAAATCATCACAGCTCAACTATGACATGTTCAGGTTACTCTAAGTGTATTGCAAAATAAAAAGGACTCCTAATAGTTCTTTGTGTCATTCACTACTCTGTGGTCTTGCCTACTACTAGTTGCCCTGCAGCCAATGATGCTGATGTATTTCTAGAATCAACTGTTGTGCTGTCAGCTCTACCCTACCTACACAAAAACAAAATAAATTCATAAAAGGAACCTCTGGGATTGGATAAGAAACACCTCCAAGAAGACGCTAACTGGGTGGTTTATGAGTCAATCAAATCATTCTTGGCAGAAAGCCAGGCAAATGGAAAAAACAAGCTTTGAAAGCAGTTCATCTATAACTCTGTGACAATGGCTTTTCAAAAGTGTTTCATATCAGATACATCTTTGTCATTCTTTTCTTTATAGCTCTTTCCTCTGCAGGAAGCAAACATTATTCTGATACTGCCAACAAGAGCTGTTTTCTGTTTCAAGTCAGAGAGCCTTACCTCCTTTTTTCTAAAAAAGTTCATGACATTTATTCACCGGGATGTTTAAGTAACTCTAGTCCCGTGTATGTTGGGTACAGAACTACTTGCTGCTTTAGAAAAGACATTTAGATGAAACGATAATAACAACCTCTTGGAGATCCTACACCAAATTTTTATAAATTACAGTCCAGAATTCCTTTTGGCATATTAGTAATTCCTCTCCTTTTGCTACTATCATAGCCATTTATAACTTCTAAGTTCTCTGAATTGAAAATTATCGAGAACTATTTGACAGCAATTCGCTAAAGCAATTTCAAAACAAACCAAAAACCCCTGTACTCGTGAAATGACATTTTAAAGCAAACTTTTAAGATTAATTTAACACATACCCTGACGAGGGGTTCGTGCAGACTCAACACATTGCGTGTTTTCCTCTTCACAGCAGTACATATATAACGATCCCAGAAATATTATGGGAACACTGCACAGGAAGGAATTCTTTGCAAGACTTTTAAGTTGTGTGATTACAATTCAGTCCTTCTTAATTAGCTTAACACTTTACTCAAGACTACCGGCCACTCTGGGTCAATTCTGAGACTGACAACACCGATAGGAGGCAACCAAGAGGGACAAGTGCTTCAAGAGCAAAATGACAGATTGTAAGGAAACACTCAAATTTTTGCCCCTCTCGCGCTTCCTCCGCGCAGTCCCCGGGTCTTCGATCTCTCTTCTGGACAAAATCTAGCACCAGGTTTCTACACTCTTTCTCTGGCTGCCACCAAAGTGAAACGAGGGGAGGAGGGCGACTTCCCATTCATCCTTAGCGAGTGGGGGAAAGCGAGCAACGGGTGCAGGGAAAACAGCAATTCTGTTTGCTCCCCCAAGTCCGATTTATTTGCTCGGGTTGAAACTCCCCAATATTTAAAAAAAAAAAGTGTCTTCACTTCTATAAAATGTAGTGTTCGGAAAGCGATGTCTAGTGCTGGGGGCCCACGCGTTGTTGGCTGGTGCTAAAAGCCCTGAACTGCTGCTAGGGAAAAGAAGCGGGAGACAAGCCACCGAACTCACCCAGTTTCTTCCACATTGCTAGGTGACAAGCGAGGAAGCCTTTGCGAATGGCAGCGCAAACCTTCGCAGGCTCGGACGAGGTGAAGCCCTTCTGCTTCTTGATGAAACCCCACAAGTGCTCCCGGGCAAACTGGGCCGCTTCCCGCCCGCCGTGCCCGTCGCACACCGCGAAAAACGCCACCGAGGAGCGGCGGCGGCAGCAGCGGCTGGGAGCCGGCGAGGCCCCGGGCTCCGGGGGAGGATCGCGGGCTGCCACCGCCGGGCCCGAGACTCCACTGTCAGGGAGAGTCGGCGGTGGTGGCGACGATGGCCGAGGCGACAGCTGAGAGAGCGACCGCCGCGGCAAAGGCTTTTCTTCGGCCGTCGGCTCGGGCTCCACAACGATCTGGGTAACGTCCTCCATGTACTTCCTCCCGCCCTGGTCAGAGAAGACGCTCACTCCCAGCGAGTACAGCCCCGCCATGGCCGGCTGGCCAGGATCCCGCCGCTCCCACGCAGCCCGCCGAATCCTGCGGCGGGAGACTAACTCGGCGCTCGCCAGCCAACTATTGTTTATCTTCGACGACGCCGAGAGGGGGAAGGGGCGGTCCCGGAGGGGGGGGGGGTGGCGCGCGATGTCGGGACTTGTCCGCGAGAGCTGGGCCGGAGCGCTGGGGCGAGCGAAGCTGAGAAACTGCGCCTGCGCTTTGCTCTTCCTCTGCCGGCCCGCGCCCACCACACAAATCAGGCGTTCTCTCTGGCTGTCGTCACTCAGCTCTCTAGAACGGACCAATCGGAGTCGACTTGGAGCGGACCCGCCCACCGCCCCCAACCTTCGCTCCTCCTTGCAACGGCTGCGCGCTCCCTCCGCCCACCGCGGGATTTGAGCCGGCGCGCAATCCCATTCACTTACGGTAGCTACGCGCTAACCTCACGCGATGCTCATCTGTTCCAGACCGATTTAGAAGTCTGTCACCTTTCACCTCAGTCTGTAGGTTTGTAACACTGAATCACCATTCGCCTCCCACTGCTCTCCTTGAAAGCGGTGTAGGCTCAGGCCTCTCAAGTGTGTGGAGAATCTAGGGGAGAAAATTGTTAACTGAAATGGCGGGAAACCTCCCTTCCAAACAGGCTTGGGAAAGTGACCGGCACACTTGAGCTGGATTTGGGTGGGCTGTCTTCGACTGGGTCCTGAACAGGGAGGCAATCCAGTCTTATTGTTTAGAAAACTTGGGGAATTTCCACCATCAACTAACTGCACGGTCTCACATAACTGACTAGGTGTGTCACAGACTTGCCATTGCCGACTCTTGACCCTCCATTGATTTGAGGCCATAAATCTCCGGGAGGAGACTGCTCCTTAAGGTTATACGTTAACTACTAATATCTTGTCCGATTTTGTTACACGAAGCACAGGCAGTTACTAAGAAGATCAGTGTGTCTTCGAGTTTGAAATTTGTAGATAAGTCTGAATAGATGCACTTATTTAACCTCTTTTACAAGAAGCGGCTGTAGAGGCAATGGTTAAGCACTAGGTGCTAACCTACAGGTAGAAAACCCAGCGTGTTTTACGGGAGAAAAAGGTCTCCTACAAATATTTACAGAAGCTTTGGTAACTATGGGGCTATCTGTTCTGTCCTGTAGGGTCACTATGAGTTGCAGTCTATGATGGCGATGAATTTAGGGGTTTGGTTGTGTCATGGAATGCGAAGGAGTTGCATTTGTCAAAAATAACTTTATAACCCAGGACTGCCTGTACTTTTTCTGAGTAGCTCTGGGCAGTTTTACTTTTCCTGTGGTATCAGATAACATAAAAATAGTTTACCAAAACGGCAGCCAAGTGCTCTAACAATTTGGTTTTCCTCTCTTTGCTCAGTAAGTCGTGATGAAAGTACTCAAACATTTGCATAGATTTTTTTCAAAGGTCAAAAATAAGCCTCTGAGTGGGTATGTTAGTATGTTTTCAACAACAAGCTTTCTTGCACTGAATTTATATTTATTTATTTGTTTGTTTATCTATCTATCTATTTATTTATTTATTTTTAGTTCTTGGCCACTTCACTATGGAACACCTCCTGTATGTGCTTTCCTTTGAGATTTCCAAATGGAATGACAGTAGTATAGCAATGAGAATGAGAATGGGAATTATGAATGAAATACAAGTAGAAAAAAATCTACCAAGAAAATTATAAATAAACAAAATCTACTCAAGAAAATGTAGAACGTTTCAATGGGTCAATTACCGTAGAAAGGATGACAGAGAAGAGTGAATGTCTTTGAGTTGTGGTGCTGGAGAATATTGAACATTTCATGAGCTGCCAAGAAAACAAATAGGTCCATCCTGGAGAAAGATAAACTAGAGATGCTTCTTGAAAGAAAGGATGGTGAAACTCTGCCTCACTTACTTTGGGCATGTAGTCAGGAGGGGCCAGTGCTGGTGAAAAGATGCCATGCTTGGAAGGGTAGAAGGTCCGTGCAAGGAAGGAAGACCCTAGACGAGATGGATTGATAGAGTAACAGAGATGGTAAAGTGGGCTCAGGACAGGGCAAAGGTCATAGGGTTGTTATGAGTTGTAATCAACTCAATGGCACATAAGAACAAGAGCAGTTAAAAATACCCTCTGCTTCAGAATGCACTAGACAGATTGTTCCAGAATGTAAAAATATTTGGTAAAAGCCCAACTTGTTTGCAGAGGAGATCCAAAACTTTATAATACTCCTTCTTATCTGAAATGAAGAATTCTCATACTAAAAGGAAATCTTTGTCATATTTTATAACTGAATGCAAGACCCCCAAATGAAATACCTGCAATTCTAATTCCCCAAGCTTACAAACTACCAAACCTTTAAGAGAGAATAATGTAAGGTGTTGCACTGCAAACCCAAAGGCAAAGTTTGAGTCTGCCAGCTGTTCCATGTGAGAAAGATGCACACTCTACTCGTTTGTGAAAACTGATTGGAGGGTGAGCTATGAGTTGGTTCTAACTGGATGGAATGTAAGAGCAACAACATATTGTTATACTTTACATAGTTACCTGTCCTCACCCCTATAAGATTGTCAAAATTAAGTCTAATCTATAATCCTTTCTGCTTCAAACACTGCCAGTAGCCTCCTTGTCAATCTACTTCTATAATCTGATTTCAGTATCTCTCTCTCCACTATCTTTCCTAACCATGTCTCTCCACCCATCAGATCTCAACTTCTGTTTACAGCCCTCTTCTCTTTACTTGCTAAATATCTTCTCTAATTTTCACATCAACTTCCTGTGCCAAGTGAAAGCTGACTTACCACCTGACTAAACTACCTTCCCTGCAAATTTTTAAATACAGAATATTTCCCTCACTTCTCCTAGGCTTTTCTTTTTTCTTTTTTTTTTTTTACATAAATTAACCCATTTATTACAGGCTAGAGATGCTTCAAATGAGGGAACTTCTACTGGTCTTTCAGTTCCTTCAGTCTTCTGATGGCTGACTTCACCATGATGGCCGAGGTGGTGTTGTAGGTCCAGGCGCCACCAGCTACTGTCTTCATGCAAGAACCACAGTGCCAGATGCCCACAGCTCGTCTCTTCATTTTGGTTTTGCCGCAGAAGGAGCAAGTGTACTTGGTATGCTGGCTGATTTCAATTTTCTTTACCATCTTCCTGAGCGAGGCACCATAACGGGTCCTGTATTTACCGACGATGCCGACTTTCTTGGTGTATTTGGCCATTGTGCCGCAAACAAGCACCAAACCCAGAGAGAGTAGGCTTTTCTTTTCTTAGAATCTGTTCTTCATGTGGCCTCTTAATAATTTTTTTTCTTTCCTCTTTCAAAAGACCAAGTTTTAAAATAAAATTGATGTCTCTATAATGCTTTCCTTTAATAATCTTGATAACTTTTCTCTCATTTGTTCATGATTTACTATCTTCCTTTCTTCTACATCGTTGTTAATACATAACCACTTTATTTTTTTAAAATGTTATCCACATTTTCAATTCAATACCCTGTCTTTATTTTCTATCCTCCCCTCTTTGGTGAAGTGGCATTGCTACTAATAAAACCCATTCCTATACTTGTGCACTAGATCATATTGCCTCTCTCCTCAAGAGCTCGGGTATAACAATTATCCTTCCTTGGTTTTGTATCATCAGTTTCTCCTTTTCTACTAGGTCACTGTCATCTAATATAAGAATGCTCTAGTTTCTATTTAAGAAGCTGGACTACGTGAAAAAGAACACAGCATCGAGATTGAGGGAAAACTCATTAAGAAATTCAGATGGTGCAACTGTGTCTGCCAATAATGAAGACCACTTGATAATAAAAAACAAAGTATGCATTTCACTAGAAATCCATAATAATAGAAATAAAAATCCTCACAACTGGATCAATAAACAATATAATAATAGAGAAAAAAAACGAAGTCACCAAGGATTTCACATGCATTAGCAATCAACACCCAAAGAAACAGAACGCAAAAAATCCAGTGGGGGGATCACCGGTGGCCTAGTGACAAGCTGTGCTGCAATCCCAGAGGCACTCGGTTTGAATCCAACAGCTGCTTTGTGGGAGGGTGGGCAATTTCCTCTTGTGGATTTACTTTGGTTTTTTTTTTAATTTTTTATAATTTATTTTATTATTTTTGTGTGAGTATACCGTCAAATCAGATCTGACTGGTACAGGAGGAGATTGTCCCTCCTTCCCCGGCAGAGCATCTGGTGGATTCGAACCATGCACCTCTGGGATTGTAGTTGCAGCTCCTTACCACTAGGCCACCAGAGCTCCCCTGATTTACTGCCTTTGAAAACCTGCTGGAGGGTCAGCTATGAGTTGGTTCTGACTCAATGACACAACAACAATAAATAAAAGGTACTGTTTCCTATATCCATACAAACTAGAAGTGTTAACAGACTTAAAAATCAAATGACGAGGCTCCTCCAGCAGCTGGGTGGTGGAAACGGTGGAGAAGAAAACTTCAGTTCTCTCCCAGGACCCCGGACAGCGGTGGGTGCTGAACAGGGCAGCCCGGCAGCGCCGCATCAACAGGCAGCTCGAAGCTTTAGAGAATGACGACTTCCAGGACGATCCCCACGCGGGACTCCCCCAGCTCGGCAAGAGGCTGCCGCAGTTTGATGATGATGCAGACACTGGAAAGAAAAAGAAGAAAACTCGAGGTGATCATTTTAAACTTCGCTTCCGAAAAAACTTTCAGGCCCTGTTGGAGGAGCAGAACCTGAGTGTGGCCGAGGGCCCCAACTACCTGACAGCCTGTGCAGGACCCCCATCCCGCCTCCAGCGCCCCTTCTGTGCTGTTTGTGGCTTCCCCTCCCCGTACACCTGCGTCAGCTGTGGTGCCCGGTACTGCACGGTGCGCTGTCTGGGAACCCACCAGGAGACCAGGTGTCTGAAGTGGACTGTCTAAGCCTGGATCCCCGGCGAGGAAGGCCCTTCACCCCGGGCTTCACCCCTGGCTCAGCCGAGGCATTGGGAAAAGGAAGTAGCCTCCCCTGGACCAAAGGAGGAGTCACCACTCATCAGCAGAACTTGCATCTCACTGACTGGGGGGATCAGCCTCGTTCCCTGGGGTGGGGAGGCGGCCTCGGCCCTCAGTTGCTTTAGTAGTAAAAGATGCGTGTGAGGAGAGGAGCCTGCCGCTCGGTGGTACTTGGGGGCGAGGGTGATGAGTCACCTGTCTCACCCCTTCACGGCTCTTGGCTTCCTCCCTGTCTTCCTCCACTGCCTGTCCCTGTCATGTGCCCCGTGTCCTACACCAGGAGAGATTTTGTCCCATCCTGCCACTGCCATGTCTCTCCCTTTCTTGGCTGCTGCTTCATGTCCTTTTTTTAGGAGTGAGGGTAGTTAACTCATTTTGGTTTTGGTTTTAGTTCCTGTGAGGAGGATCTTTGAATGCAGGTAGAGTCAGTGCTGTGTAACAGGGAAGTAGAGAGAGAATGGGAAGGAAGGGTGCAGAATGGTCCTGTAGGACAAGCTGGCCTCTCTTTGAGCACCTGTTGTCTGGAACTTACTGGAATGGGCCCTTGTCCTTGGTGCTGCCAGTCTAAGGTGGCTTGCCCCTAGGAGCTATCTGTCAAGGGCTGCTGTGTGTGAGTGTTGTTGTTGTGTGGGCCATTGAGTCAGAACCGACCCACAGCTGACCCTCCAGTGGGTTTTCAGAGGCAATAAGCCACGCAGGAATTGTCCATCTTTCTCCAGAGGAGCAACTGGTGGATTCGAACCACGTACCTTTGCGTGGACAGCACAGTTCATTTCCACTAAGCCACCAGAGCTCCCTATGAAATTACTGGCATAGTAAATACGAATGTCCAGGAATCACAGGGAATTCTGGTAGAGACTCCTGTGTAGAGCTTCTTACTCTCAGAACATTGTAAGCTGTAAGCATCTTGTAGTTTCTGTATTAAACCTATTACAAAAACAGGCTTGGTAAGTATTTGTTGGAACAAATGACCTTAATAAAGTGTTAATGAAACTCAGACAAGTTAGCCACAGGCATGTTCTTCCCTCTTTTGAGAACACTCTGGGGCTGGTGCAGATGTCTCTGAGGACATTGTTTCCTAAGGACCCGTTTTCTCTTCTCTGAAGACTCGGGGTCGGACAAGTGGTACTGTGAGAGCTCTATGTGCAGCTGGGGTGAGGACAGGATCAAGAGATGTGGTTTCTAGAAGTGACTGTAAACTCTGTCTCTCCTTCCATGAAAAGGTGGGGTTCTTGTTCCCTTCCCTAGAACCTGAACAGCTTCAACTAGAGGAGAAAGCAGAAGTCATGCTGTTGTTGTTACTGTTTAGTTGTCGTCATTATTGTTATTCTTGTGTGCGGTCGAGTCGGAACTGACCCATAGCTGAACCTGCGGCGGATTCTCAGAGACACTTAATTGCACAAGAGGAGGTTGCCCATCCTTCTCCCGCCAAGCAAGCAGCTGGTGGAGTAGAAGTCCTGCCATGTCCTTTAAGGCTAGATCATCCAGCTCCTCAGACACTTGTTCTTGGTTCCCTGAGCCAGCCTGCGAGAAATCCAGCTATCCTGACGCTGCCACGCTGTGAAGAAGCCACATGCGTAAACTGTTAGTGCTGACAACCCCCGCTCAGGTGAGCCTTGAGCTCCCAGGACTGGCCCTAGTTATGTTAGCAAAGATGCCTCCAGAAGATTCCAGACCTCAGTTGTTGAGCAGGCCTCAGCTACACGCATTTTCTAATGGAATCCTCTGATGTCACAGATCAGAGACCGGCCATCTGTGGTGTGTCCTGTCTGAATTCCTGACCCACAGAATCTGTTGAATGTAATAAAGAGTCGTGACACTGAAAAAAAAAATTTAAAAAAATCAAATGACATTGCATTGTACAAATCTGTGACGAAAGACCACTTCAAAATTTTAAAAAGGCAAAGATGTCACATTGATAACTCAACCCATGTCCTTTTCAGTCACCCCAGATGTATTCAAAAGCTGGACAATGCAAAAAGAAAAAGAAATATTTCATCTAGTTTAGTTGCTGTGTTAGCAAAGAATGTTGACTATACTATAGAAAGATGAATTGCATTGGGGCAGCCTGCTGTCATGGACCTCTTCAAAGTACTAAAGAGCAATGATGGGAGTCTAGAGACTAAGGTGCACTTGATCCAGGCCATTTTCTTTGCAATCACTTGCTGTGTATCAAAGAGCTGGACTAAGGAATACAGAAAAAAATCCATGCCTTTGAGTTGGGTTCTGGAGAAGAGTGTTAAACATACCATGGCCTGCCAAGAGAAAAAATAGGTCTGTCTTGGAGAAGGTGAAACCAAGTTTCTCCTTGGAGGCAAGGATTTTGAAGCTTCATCTCACATTCTTTGGGCACGTGGCCAGGAGAGACCTGTGCTTGGAGAAGGACATCATGCTTGGAAGGGCAGAGGGACAGTGCAGGAGATGAAGGCCCCAGATTAGATGAATTGACAATGGTGGCTACAGCAATGGAATTATGTGTATTGGAGTTAATGAGATTGACTCAGGATAGGACAGGGTTCAGAGCTGTTGTACACAGAGTAACAGGTGATTTGATGGCACATGTCAACAACAACATGGACTGCCAAAGATAAAAATGAACAAATCAGTCTTAGAATACAACAAGGATGTTCCTTAGAAGCAAGGTTAGTGGATCTTTGTATCACTTAGTTCTAGTATTTTTACAATTAAAACTTTTTATATACAGATTTACCTAGAATTATTTGGCCATGAAATAAAATCTAATCTATATTTATTTCAAATAGTTTGCTTCCTAAAATTTTAGAAAATTTCTAATGTTTGGCAACACTCCTTTTTATTAGCTAGGTAGTTTTTATACATAACCTTCAATTGATTTCTATTATTCTTATCCACTAATTTCTTGATGTGTGAGTAAATTTGTTTCTAATTATTGAGTTAGAAACCTTCAAACATGAACGTAAGAATTAATTTTAGAAACAAAATCTAATTAATTTGCTATTGTTCCCTCCCATAGCTAGAAAATATCAGCAACATCTACTAAGTAGTTTTTTCCATTGTTCATCTATTAGCACCACCCTGTGTGTTTAAAACTAAGATAATGTGTCTCTGCAGGTTGACTTCTGTGACCCTGTCTTTACTCTGACCTTGTTGTTTTTGCAACTTGAGACTTAAGAAAATAATCAGTTTAATCTGACTACCACTGTCATGTTCTTTGTGCATGAATATAAATTGGTGAGAGACACAAAATTAGAAGCACTGCTGCCAGAGTCCCAAAGGTGTCAAACCTGTATGTGTTCTTAATTAGCCATGAAAATCCAATCTGTCATGTTTTCTGCAGATAACTGGTTTCTGAAGCATTAATGTGGAAAGAATATTCATACCTTTTCTCTTTAGATTACTGTGCTTAGATACTTAATTTATCCTTTTTATTTCCCCTACAAAGAGATTCTTGAATTTATTGCTTTACCTCAATGGGAAAAGTCTCCTTTTCTCATTTGCTAAAAGTTATAGCATTTATTTGTTTAAATTATGTAAAAAAAATGTATTTTCCCCCCTAAAGTATTTATTGTGTGACATAGTTTTACTCAAGAGGACTATTTATTACTTTTGCTGTAGAAAAAAATTCTAAGGGCTCAAACAGTGGACCCTTCAGAATATTCGACAATAATTCTTTGAAGACCAATTTTAAGGTTGTTGCTTGTTGTTGTGTACCACAGAGTCGGACGGAACCAACCCATAGCTGACCTCCCCTAGGAGGTTTTCAGAGGTAGTTAATTGCACAGGAGAAGAATGTCCATCCTTCTCCTGTGTAGCAGCTGTGTTACTGCACATCTTCTCGCCACTAGGCCACCAGAGCTCAATTTTAACGTAGAAACTAACATATTTTAAATATGCTTTTACATTTAGGAGCTAAGAAGATTGGGGGTATTTCTAATTTTTTTAATTAATTTTAATCAAAGTTTACAGAAACTTAGGGTTTCCATTCATTCTTTTTCTGCAGTTTCTCGCTGCCCACCCTCTCCCGCCTTAATTCACCTTCTCTTTGAAAAATGAAAGAAAAATTATTTCATTGTTACACAATCCCTCCCTGCAAGTCCACTCCACTGTGCAGCCTTCATTCTGGATTCCTGTCATGACAATAATAACTAATCATATATCCCTTTTAAACAGTTCTCTGCCTCCCCTCCCTCATGTTTCAATGCAGTACATATTATTTATCCCCTCTTTCTCAGTCTACCCTCAACGCCGATGTCAGTCCCATTTACAACAATGGCCCTATACAATATTTGTCCTTTTGTGACTGAAATATTTCACTCAGTATAATGTCCTCCATGAGTCACCCATTTTATATAATATTTCATGGGTTCTTTGTTTTTCAATGCAGCATAGTATTCCATCGTGTGAATATACCAGAGCTTCTCTATCCATTCCTTTGTTGATGAGCACTTGGGTTGTTTCCAACTCTTTGCCATTGTGAACAAAGACACAGTAAACATGGATGTGCATATATCTGCTTGGCTGGCGGTTATGGTTTCTTTAGGGAATAGTCCCAGTAGTGGAATTACTGGGTCAAATGGTATTTCTATTTGCAACCTTTTGAGAAAGTGCCATACCGCCTTTCATAGTGGTTGCACCATTTTACACTCCCTCCAGCAGTAAATAAGGGTTCCAGTTTCTCTACAACCTCACCAGCATTTGATGTTTGCTCTTCTATTTTGCAACTTACTGGAGTGAGATGATATCTCATACTTGTTTTGATTTTCATCTCTCTTAGAGCTAAGGATTTTTAACATTTCTTCATGTGTTTGTTGGCCATCTGAATGTCTCTTTTATTTTTAAGGACATTTTTATTATTATTTAAGTGAATGTTTACAAAGCATATTGGTTTTTCATTAAATCATTGATACTTCCCCCTCATTCATTCTTTGTATTTTTCTCCTTACCCACCC